ATAACTATATAACTTCACTTATATTTATTCACTTAACTCATAGTCAGTAACTTGATGAGAGGTCAGCAGTCAGCGTAAGCAATTAAGCGGGGCTATCCCACTGGCAAGTATGCGGAGGTGCGAAAAAGTAATTATAAGGTCATCTCAAACTATATCACCACTCCCGTGACGAAGCTACTGTCCGCACCAGCTGGTCACAGTGCCCTTACCAGGAAGGTCGTTCAGGGCGTGCCCCGCTTTTTCGAAACGGTTTATTGCACTTTGTAGGGCCTTGCCCATGAACCATAAAAGTGGGCTTCGTTTTGGCTGAGCGGCCCCTGGAATGCCAAAAAAGGAGCGAAAAAGAAACCTATGGAAACTGATTGTTTTTGAGCCTCTACGAGCTGTAAACCGCTTGAAACTTTGACCAGTTGCTGAATGGAGGGACCCTATAAAGGTACTATCGGAATCGAAGAGAAAAGTAGTCGGGGTATGGGGTCTTACTTGTGGCACGTAATCAAGCGTGAACGGCTTCATGGAATGGTTTCTTCAACGATCGGAGGAATGTTCAGCAACAACGATCGGATGGCCTAGTGGATAGCGTGAAGGATTCTCAAGCGGACAGTTGGGGTGGGGTTGATGGTTCGACTCCCCTCGGCGTGCGAGTTTTTGCATTTTTTATGTTTTGCTGTTTTCGCGTTCAAATATGTCTGTGCGTGAGTATGCGTTCGATAACTGCCATTTATGGGCACATTTTAAATGGGAACTCCATGAATCAGTGCTATTCAATTATTACAGGTTTTACATACCATTAAGCAAGACCGTAATTGAAAGTTGACCTTTATAGGTCAGACCATGCCCGAATCACGAATATGGAACTTATTTGTAGCTACGGTGCCATTTATCGCTAATATGGAGTGACATGTTTCTCCCAATGAATGCGTTTGCTACACACAAGTAAGGGATGTGTAGCGCTACCCAGGCGCCAAATTACGTCGGCGCCGAAAATAAGTGTGAAAATCATGATCGGGGCATCAAAAGAGATAAA